AACCAAGTCAACTTGCGAAAATCACATAACTTTGGTATCTGATAAAACCAAGTGTTGTAACCATCTCAAACAACTTTTAACATATTGCCTAAGGTCAGAAACACGAGCTAGCCAATCCTCAAACACCCTTGAACACCAAAACACCAAAAAACTTGCAAAACAGGGCAGCTTCTGCATTTTGACATCCAAAGCAAAATCCACTCGTGCGTTTTGCTTGCAAATACTTCAAACACCTTCTAAACAACCCACCTAAGCTATCCCAACCATTGGAAAGCAACTGTAACCTTGTTTTCAAGCTTCACCATTTTTGAATTCTGACTATGCAGGTTGACTTCTACAAGCTTATTCAAGTAAGTTCCAAGTAAACTAAGCATTGGGGAAGGTCAAAGGAACTTCAAGCAAGCTCACAAACATCTCAGGCCTCACTGAAAACCCCTACATTTCCATACTCGAGTTCAACTGAAACAAGTAAAGTTCAAACTTCTATCTCTCTATTTAGGAATCATTAGGCTTATGTTTGTGAATAAAAAATGAAGTACTCATTGCCCTTAAGCTGTACATATGCATAGATTTCATTTAAGTTAACTGTGTTGGGAGAATTTGAATGATGAACTTTCTGAAAAAACTAGGTTAGAAATTAGGGTCAGAGAAATTCTCTCTGGTCTTTGAGAGTTAGATTACGTTTTTTATATGGTTAGAATCGTATGATCATGCTCTATAACTTTCATGTTGCAAGTTTTTGCTTTAGAGCACGAATGCAGGATTTCCCAATTTGAACATCCAGGCGCGCGTATTCTGTCACAAGGTTGAAGATAAAGGCCAGCTGGGCTGGGCCTGGCTATTCCATGTTGTTTGCACCCCTGGGCTTGCTTCTCACACCCCCTTGGCCCATTTAATTTACTTTCATATTTTTTTCATTTCCTTTTTAATTTCTGACTTTATTTTATTTTTTCTAAACATAAAAAAATTACTAAAAACATTTTCATAAATTTTCACATTTTATTTTATTATTTTTATTATTTTTTTGGACATAAAAATAATTACTTTAATAATATACTTTTATTTTCTTAAATAAAGACTTGTAAATAATACAAAAAATACCATATATTTTTATTTTTATTATTTATGCACTTAAATAATATTTTCTCATATATTTTTATTTTCTAAACATTTGTATAGATTTTATTTTATTTACTTGTACATAAATAAATAATTAATATATATATTTTCTTAAAACAAATTAGGGTTTCCACCCTTAATAAAAATAATCATTTTTATTTTTTCTTATTTTTTGAGACATTAAATAACTTATTTTTACATACATAAAAATAATATAAAAAAAACATTTTTTGCATATTTATAATACATTGCATATTTATTTAATTGTCGATTTAAATATTTGTTTATTTATTATTTGAACAAAGAATTCAATATGGTTGTAATAATCTTAGGGTTTTAATTTCTTGCAAATAATCTCCTATTCAAATTTGTATCCCCCTCTCCATATCAATGTTGTAATAGTTGTAGATTTACTTTTATGCATTTATAGCTTTCAAATATGCATGATAGAGATTAGGGTTTGTATGCAAATATCCAAAATAAAACAAATAGCTTGACTAAAACAAGACAAAAATGCATGAAAATGACAACACAATGCACACAAGCACCCCTAGGGTTTCATCCACTTGTTGACTTTAAAATGGCCATGGTATGCATGTTGAGTATCTTGGCAAAACAAAAACAAAACAAAAGATCATAGTCCCTCGATGACGCTATCTTGGTTGCCTATACAAAATGATCTAGTCCCTAAAAAATTTGCTAAGATACTTGGCACAATTGCTATCATGGTCATACGATGGCCCGCGCCCGTCCCATTTAACATCCAAAGACAAGGTTGTTTACCAAATACAATGGTAAAACAACAATGTCAAAGGGTTAAAAATGTGTAGGAAAGATCTTTGAGTAGGGTAGACAAGTCCTAGTTACTTGATCAAACTTGAAACATCCTTGCTATTTTCAAAAACACTCCACACAATTTCAAAACAATTTCCCAAAACAAAACAAAAAAATAAACGTTGAAACATTTTACAAAAGACAAACACCTTTGTAAAACATTCAAACAAGAATTGTTATAAAGGTTGCCTAGACAAGGCCTCTTTTCAAAATATTTTCAAAACCACACACAAAGCACCATTTCAAACAATTGAAAAGTAAAAGCAAGTGATCTAAACAAGTAACTAAGAGCCCATGGAAAACCATGGATGAAAAGGGTGCTAGCACCTTCCCTTTTCATAATCTACCCCCCGAACCCAAGAAAACATCTCAAAGGTCTTTCCTGTGCTTTTTGACCTTTCCTTTGGATAAAATAAAAAGTCGATGGCGACTCTTGCTAAACTGAAACATTTGCGAACAAAAACGTAAAACCTCAAGTCAGATCTCCCACCGTATCACAGCAGGCCTCAAAGAACAAGACGCATGCCTGCAAGATTCCAAGATTGTGTGATTACATCAGATGATGTAATAAATAATGAAGGTGAGCTGGTACATTATGCTTTCTATGCAGATGTCGAACCCGTTAATGCAGCTGAAGCATTAAAGGATTCGAAGTGGGTGAAAGCAATGAACGAAGAAGTAAAGTCTATCGAAGACAACAACACTTGGTCACTTGTCGAATTGCCTCAAGGCAAGAAGGCAATTGATGTCAAGTGGGTATACAAAGTGAAAACGAATTCAAAAGGTGAAGTAACTCGACACAAAGCAAGACTTGTGGCGAAAGGATTTCTATAGAAAGAAGGAATAGACTTTGATGAAGTTTTTGCACCTGTTGCTAGGATTGAAACAATCAGGTTGGTTGTTGGCCTAGCAGAAATAAACAGTTGTCACATATGTCAGATGGACGTGAAGTGTGCATTCCTAAATGGACTCTTAGATGAAGAAGTCTATGTTAAACAACTAGTTGAGTTTCTGAAACATGACGAAGAAAGAAAGGTGTACAGGCTACATAAAGCCCTGTATGGATTGAAACAAGCTCCAAGGGCTTGGAATAAGAAAATTGATAGTTTTCTAAGGGAGAAGGAATTTGTGAAGTGCACAACTGAACATGGAGTATATGTAAGAAGAAGCAAGAGTAAATTGCTTATACTATGTCTCTATGTAGATGATTTGTTGATAACAGGTAGTTGTAAAAGTGAGATCGAAGACTTTAAAGGTGATCTCAGCAAGTTATTCGAAATGTCTGATTTGGGTGAGATTTCATATTTCCTTGGTATCGAATTCTACAAGAGCAGTAGAGGTTTGATGATGCATCAAAGAAGATATGCAGGAGAAATTCTCAAGAGGTTTGAGATGGAAGAATGCAACTCAACTTTGACACCTGCATAACCAAGACTGCAACTGTCGAAAGATGCAGATGAAGATGATGTTGATCCAATCCAATACAGAAGACTTATTAGATCATTGAGATACATTTGTCATACAAGGCCTGACTTAGTATATAGTGTAGGTATGGTAAGTAGATTCATGCAGAAACCAAAGGTATCACATATAGCAGCAGTAAAGAGGATACTAAGGTATCTCAAAGGAACTTTCGATTATGGCATTTTGTTTCCTGCAGTTGATAAAGGAAAAGAATGCAAGTTAGTGGGATACACTGATTCGAGTTGGTGTAGTGATGTTGAAGATCGAAAGTCAACAACAGGATATGTGTTTATGCTAGGTCGTGCACCAGTTGCTTGGAATTCAAGAAAGGAACCAGTAGTGGCATTATCATCATGCGAAGCAGAATATATAGCTGCTTCTCTCTGTGCATGTCAAGCAACTTAGATGGTGAACTTGGTCGAAGAGATAACAGGGAAAAATTATGGAGCAATTACCATGAAGATAGACAGCATGTCAGCTATTAATCTGGCGAAGAACCCAATAGCCCATGGTCGAAGTAAGCACATCGAAATGAGGTTCTATTATCTTCGAGAGCAGGTAGCAGATGGAAAGATGAATTTGGAACACTACAAAATTGAGAATCAGATTGCAAACATCATGACGAAGGGAGTGCAAGTCGAAGTATTCAGAAAGCTAAGAGCCATGATGAACATAGATAGTTTAGACACAATGAATTAGGTGGTGCGTTAAATTGTAATCCAATGTGTCGAAACTATGTGTCGAAAAGATTTGATTTGTTTTAGATTTAAATAGATTTGATTTAAGTCTAGAATAAATTAGATTTGATTTAGTAACAAAAAGATATTTTGGACTTTGGACTTAGGGTGTAAGCTCAGTTATAAATAGAGAGGGTAACCCCTATTTTTCGTAAGCAAATCAATCAAGTCATTCACAGTAGTTTGCAGTTACAAAGTGAATAATAAAATTTTCACAGTTTGTGAGTAGAGAGAAACTCTGCAGAAATTATTTGTCTTGTCTTCTTTTCTTTGTTTGTCTCATAACTAATCGTCATTGTGGTAGAAATTCATCATAGTCTTTTGGTGGATTTCCAACGAATAATATATAAATAATATATACAGTATATATATTTAATATAAGAAAGGATTTCATAATAGCATTACCGATAACATTATAATCCTATAAAAAGAAATATCAATAATTACTTTTAAAAAAATATTTTAATATGTTGTATCCTAATCAAGGGTTATAATTTTGAAATTTACTTCTCCATTGCTTGTGGGTTACATGATGTCAAAATATCCAAATTATATACCACACGTGCTTCCACATTTGCCAATTTGTTTAATGTTTTTATAACTTGCCAAGTCATAATTTATGGGAAAAGAATCAAATGCATTAGGTAGAAGTAAGATGGCTTTATAGAAAATGTCAATAACCACTTCACTATATTATTTCAATTTGAATCCATATGGAGTAGTTGGTAACACAGTAAAGAAATAAATTAGTACTATATAATATCCATAACTTCATTTGTCATTGGCACAAAAACATTTTTCTTACAAATATTTTGTATTTTGAGAGAACAAAGAGAGTTCATAAACATGAACACATCAATGACTGCTTCTTTTCTAGTTTTGTTGTTGGCTTTTCCTTGTGTATTTGCAACTGATTACACTGTTGGTGATGCTAACCAATGGACTCAAGGTGTTGATTACACCACATGGACTTCTGGAAAAACTTTCAAAGTTGGTGATAATTTAGGTATGCTTCTTCTACTTAACACTCCAATTTTATATATGAATCTGCAATATTACTTAACTGACGAATTGTTGTGATGAAAAATCAGTGTTCAAATATGGAGGAACTCACCAAGTGAATGAAGTTGATGAGAGTGATTACAAAAGTTGCAGTTCAAGCAACACCATAAAGAATTACAACGATGGAGATTCAAAGGTTCCATTAACAAAAGCAGGAAAATTTTACTTCATATGTCCAACAACAGGCCATTGTACTGCTGGAATGAAGCTTGAAGTCGATGTTGTTGCTGCTAGCACCACCCCAACTCCAAGTGGCACCCCTCCAACAACAAATACTCCTACTCCATCAACAACACCATCAACCACTCCGTCAACTCCATCTTCTGAGACTAACTCAACTTCTCCATCACCACCAAAGGATAGTGGAGCTGTCACTGTTTCCTACGGTGTTGGTATTTTGATGGGTTCTTTGTTTTTGGTTTTGGGTTTCATGGGCTAGGGAAGAGACGGTGCAATTGTTGTTATTAATAGTCATTTTGATTTTTTGTGTTATTGGTTTTTGTTGAATTTATACAACACATTTATTGTTATTTATCAATCATTAAAATTTCTCATAGATTCTCCTTATTAAGTCGAGTTCGGGTATGCTATCTTTATATTTAAGAGACGTTTCTTTTATTCTCTATGAGTCTTGTTAACAAGTATTTATAGACATTCTTTAAGAGTTCTAAATAAATAATTTTAAAAAAATTTAACTGTTTCAGTTTCAATGTAGTGTATACACGTATTTTTAGAAAAAAAAATTTTTTTTAAGTCTTTAAAAAGTGTCATTGCGACATTTGGTAGCATTTTCTTTATTCTATTTAGTGTAATGTAAAACACGTGGGAAAATATTAAGATACCGTTTTGTCTTAACTATTTTCGCGGTAATTGATTGTTATTAAGACTTTGGGTGGGATAAAAAAGTTGTGTCTTTCTACATTGGATCAGTACATTTGATGCAGTAGGGAGAGTATTGACTTACAAAATTAGTACTCCAACAACTAAGTCAGTGAAAAAATCAAAAGAAATATGTAAGTGAGAATGAATTTGAATACTTGAAATGATGCGCCTCACCCTAATATACCAATAATGATTGAAATCGTTCACATGTGATGCATCGTGCTGTGGGAATATTTGTTTAATTGAGTCAGGCAATGATTGCTACATTGGGGTGCAAAAATTGTTTGCTTCTAGCCAAACAAGTGTCTACCTGCTCTACGTGCCTTTCCTCTCAGGATTCGATCTTGGGTGTCTTTCTCTATGAGGCTTGCGAACAGTCCATAATAACTGCCCCTAAGCCCTTATTCATATGCACTATAGTGGGGGGTTGGTTGTGTCCACCTTTAGGCCGAATTATATCAAGAATAAGTGAGAGCATGATCCGACGTCACTAGTATTAAAAACAAATGCGTTAAATGTATTTCTCTTGAATATCGATGTTTTATAAGGAGGTTCTAACGTGTGTCACTAGCTATATCTGACTGTAATGGTGTCCTCTTTGTCTTAGGATACTTGAGTACTCTTGAACAATTTATGATGATATTTGGATCGTTGGTATTGCTTTTCACACATCCCAATGTAGTAGATCACACGATTCATTGTAGTGAAAAATTGTATATGATGTCACAAAAGCTTCAACCCACAATGGAGATCTTGAATAAATAAAAATTGGATATGATAGACGTTATGATAAGAGTAGAGACCCCGTTCGTGTCTCTCCTACCTTTTAATCATCCTAGAATTGAAGGGTACGTCTCTCTGGTTCCTCGACTGAAGTCTTTCCATCTTCTTTCCTCACAACCACCTGCTCGACAATTTTCTTTTTCATCGTTCTCTGGAAGGGGTTATTAGCCCTTGAAAGAACCTTAGTAATGAAAGCAATGTACCGGTGTTTTTCTTTTCGGTCTTCCTCTTCTTCACTACTTCTATCTTTTCCACCATTTTCCCCAATGACAACTTCAATCATTTTCGGGAGATAATTTTTCTTTACAAGGGGATTTATTTTTCTTTGGGAAATCTTCTCAACTTATACACCCCCTTTTATTGTCCTTGCTTCCATTCTGATCACCATCCTTGGTGTATTGAGTAAGTCGTCCCTTCTTGATCCACTATTATATTGCATCCTTTATATCTAGTGTAAATCAACCAAGAAGCCCCGAGTATTGAAAATACAAATAATTAGAGAGAATAAAAAATGACAGGTAGGTCAACCATACTATAAATACCAAATTGGGAAGATTTGTTATGGGCTGAGATTCCAGCTCATCCCATAGAAGATATGTCAGCCAAGTCATGGTGGTAGAAGATTTGCCCATTAAGTCCAAGGAAGATCCAGAGGACGATTTAGACCCGAAAATCACTTTCTCTTATAAATACCCAGCATGGATCCTCCCTCATAAAAATGACCCTATGGTCATAAAGGTGTCTATATCAATGTAAAACATAGATGTAGAGAGGATCATAGAACTGAAAGTCTCATGAGACATATGTCATCACAACATATTTTCGTCAAATTATAACCTCGTGAGACATATGTCATCACAACATATATCAATGTAAAAATTAATTTCAGATTTAAACATAGATATTACATGATAAGACAAGTCAACTTTATAAATAACCATGAGATAACAAGAGTCTCAAAGCTATACATCTATATTTTCGGTTATCTACATATAACTCAAAACTTTGTCAGCACAATCCTGAATATATATAGTTTGTTTAAAATTTTAACTTATGATTATAAAATTGTTATCATTATAAGATTAGATTGCTTCAAATGATTCTAGGTCATTTAGATAATGACATCAAATAAGTAACATGATAACTTTTAAATGTATAGAGTCCATTTAAAGTATGAGAATTCTATTGAACACACCCTTTATATCATTCTACCTATATAGTTAACTTTTGAAGTATCGAGACGTGATCAAAAGACCATCTCTACGGCCAATTTTTGGTGGAGAATATGGGGATTGAATGGTCTATAAGGGGTGGGGGTGGGGTGAATATATTGTTCCCTATAAACTTTTTCAAAAATGCTTTATTTTACAAAATCAAAGTTTAATAAAATGATGCATATATAGTAAGAAGAAGCAAAATATAACAAATAGTTTGGAAAATACATGTTCCAATGTCGAACACAATTACTAGAGACAATTAGAAATAAACACAAACAAGCTAAATTAAGTTTCTTTGACATGCAATACAATAATGATCATAAATCAAATTTCACGCATAGCTCAAAATTAATTTATATCAAATGGTTGGTCAATCTAAAATCAAATGTCTATACAATCATAATCGAAAGATATAATAACTAATAGACTAGATCCATCCTAGACCAAAGCTCATATTATAAATCACTATATGCAAGGTAAAGATCTAAATCGTATGATATTCTAAAAAGAAAAAAAATTAAAACATATAATACTATTCTGAAATGTAAAAGAGGTTGGGAGAAGAAAAATAAACACTAGATTTATTATGGTTAAGCTCATTTGTCATCGCTAGAGCTTAATCAACTCTTCAATGGTTTCCCCATTGAAAGTTATATTGTCTTCCACTATTTGTAAAGTTAATACACAAGAATATTTTGGTACAATGGATAATCAACAACACGAAACACTACATGCCAATTACTTTAACCAACACAAATCTAAATTGATTTTCCATTCTCTTATAGCAAAACACTAAAACTGCAAACTTTAAAGATCTTTATTGATCTTGATCCAACAGTCTTGGTAGACACAAAAATCCTGCTCTAAGCTTCCATTTTGCAGAGGCTTTTACTCAACCCTACCAATTTCTTATCTAAGCATTTGTTTTACACATGATGATTTGACAGCCCCCAAATTTGTTATACATCAACCTTAACAATATTATAGTGAATTCTTGAATGGTTTATAGAGAAACAATTATCTTGATTAATGTTAATTTTCAGATACCGTAGACACAAAGCGGTTCTTTATCTTGATACACACAACAAAACTTCACAAAAAAACTTTAGTTTTCCTAATGTACCTTGGATCTACGAATCACAATATTAACATTTTAGGAAGTTTTTCACAAGGTTAAATCAAGAAGGAAGTGTGTTCGTGAGAGGAAAACCTCTTATGGGTTTTTCTCAAGATTTGTGAAAATATGGATTTGATCTCACTAGATCTCTTTCTGAAAAAATTCTCATCTTTTTTTAGGTATCAACATTGATCATCTCTCACGAGACATATGTCATCACAACATATCTCATCGCTTTGGAAATTCATACAAAAATGATTTTTATAGGTGCTAGAGGTTAGGCACAAAAAGGTTACAAAAATAACAAATGATTCAAGCCAAATCATGAGGTTATGATTTGAATCAACAAAAAGAATTACTTGAATCAAGGTAGTAAAATAAGGAGGTTTCCATTTTTATTTGGGTCATGGTTTATACTCATGATACGAGTCAAACAAAAGTATGATTCAAATCATGGTTCTTTTTTAAAAAGTTTAACTTTCATGATTTAAATAAAAAATCTTTGTGATTTGACTCAACGAGTGTTGTGATTCAAATCACACACATACTTAATTCGAATCAAATAGTCAGAGGCAAAATCCATATTTCAAATTGATGTTTAATTTGATTCAACCACATGCTTGTTTCGAATTAGGCATTAAAATACCTTGTTTTAAGTTTTATAACTTATGATTCAAGACACACACAAGATGTTGACTTTGACTAGCTTGTTCAAACTTAAAAATGATATTGATATGGGTCAAAATCTAATTTACTGAATGAGAGGATAAATTAAGATAAAGTTCTTGTGAAGTTGTAGCAGCGACATAATGATTCGGAATAACAATGGGTGTTGGGTAGTACGGAAGTTGGACCTGAGGATAGGCAGGAGCTTTTCCCCCTGTCAATAGAAGTGTTGCTAGTTTCACCTTTCTTATTCTTGATGAAGTTGGAATAGGGTTTCTTGCCATTTCTAGTGTTGTTGTTGGTAGTGTTAGGAGCACCTTGGATCATACCAGCTTTGATAAAAGTTTCAACATGCTCCCCAATAATAACCATGTCAGAGAAGGAGGTAGAAGTACTACTAAGCACATGTTGGAGATAAGGGCCTCGCAGGGTGCCCATGAAAAGATCCACCAATTCATGATCCAAGAGGGGAGACTGAACCCTCGTAGCTTGTTCACGATGTAAGAACGGGATTTAGATTCGTGTTTAACCTCTGAGTTATGATCATAACAAGCATATATTTTTATGCAGAATAATTTTAGTTCTAATTGTTTCATTGAGTGTGTAGATATACATTATTAGTATTCTGGATAGTCTTAATCAAGATATCATCAGAATCACACTACTCAGAATCAGAACCATTGAGTTATGTTTCTAATGTAACATCAATAGTTCTATTCAACGTTGAATGTTCGACAAGAAAAGAAACTCAATAAGTTTCCAAGAAGAAAGAAT